TGGAAGTTATATTAATTATGACTGGTCACTATCATGTAACCACGATCATTTTAAAAATTACCATTACTTCTTTGGATTTGCTTCAAACTGGGGATGTCTGTTTGTTTTTGTATCCGGCAGTTTCACATTGCTTTTTAGAGCTCCTCTCAGCTGAAAGTATCCCTCTCCAAACAGAATGAGCAAACCCTGTCTCAAGAATGTGCTGTCATAGTTTGCTGATTCTGTCATACAGTGAGTCATGTGTTTTGTTGTGCTGAGGAGGACACAGGTCTTTCTTACCTTTATTCACAGGTCTCCCGTGAGCTTGATGAAAAAGTAGAAAAACAGCAGTGTGGTATATTGTCTGAACCCTATGCTTAGTACAGTTGGCTGTCTGAGCCTTTAGAGCCTATAAAAAGCTTCCATTATAATGTGGTCACATGCTGTTGCAAGGACTCGCTTCCTTATGTGTTTTTTATTATTATTATGGCATTCTTATTGCTTGGGCTTAAATATTCATACTCTCTTGTTAATAAATAATGAAACTGGAAGGGCTCTTGTGCCCTGTAGTTTTGGAGGTGACCAAGTCTATTAAAGTGGCACTGGGGCAGGATTACATGAAGAATCCGGCTGTGTGGGTATTTATAACCTGCTCTAACAAAATAATATGCTGTGAAATTGGATTTCTACATTTTTTGAGGCAGTATTACCAGTTGTCCCAGTTTTAACTTGGCTCTTTACTCACAATGTCATCAGCCAAACTATAAAGTACTAAATTTCATTGTGATTGAACTTCGGGAGTGAATGTACAATGGGCTTTTTCCAAACCAACATTTCTAGTTGCACATATATTTGGTCCAACCTAACATGCCTTTAACTGGCAAATGGCACTGAGTTTGTGCTAATTACCTGCTGATTCTCAACCTGCCGTTCTGGTCCCACACTGTGCTCGTGCATGCATGCATACACCCACTTCTGCAGGGGTTCCTTTACTAGTTCTGCTGTCTTTTACATATATCTTTTCCATCCATTCTATCCATTGTATGATTTTTGCATCTAAATTGGTTCAGTTGAGTGCCTCAGGCTTTGTTTGACACCTGCAGCTAGAGAGACCCCATAGGGAGACAAGATGATGCCAATTGAGCTATGGTGCAAGGTTACGGTGTGATGTTCAACCAGTGATCACGCTCAGCATACCACAAATTCCTGAACCTCCTCTGACCAACTTTGAATGGTCTCATACCCATTTGATACTCAATAGAAGCATAAAACAAAGCAATCATGTCATGACATCACTGCATTTATATGCTCTAAATGGTGATCTATTTACTGCTACCAGATTATTAAGAGATAATAATGCAAATAGGATGCTAATTATAGTGGCAGTAAAAAAGTGTTAATATAAAGAGTAGTTTGTATTATCATGCCTTTTCTTAAAAGCTTCAAGGGATGGTTTCATTTAATTTGATAGTGGCATATCCTTGTCATCATAAGCATACAATAAGCAAACAGCTAGCATCAGATTCTGATTATTATTATTATCTAAAGCTAAGACTGGAACGTGGATTCCTGCCAACTACAAACCAGTTTGAAGAGCACAAACAAAACACAAATGCAGAAATCTTGCACGTGAAATAAACATGTCGACACCTTATTGCTTATAGTAAGAAGCTGAGCTTTTCAGGACCTCTAAAGAAGGGTGGCTGGTGCACACCAAAGCCTTCAACATGCTTGAGATGTTATCAAGCCTGTGAAATGCAGTCCTGTGTATTTTTCTCCCTTGCCATCCAATAATACCCTCCACCAAAGTGTTTTTCAGTGTTCAGGCTTGATGGAGACTCGAGCATCTCAGGGGAAGTTGGTATGCATTGATTTATGATAATTAATAATGTAAGTGATGTCACAAGAGGGTGGTCTAATGGCTTTTGGCTGGAGTCGTCCCCTGGGTGCAGTGTCTCTGGGAAGCTAGAGTGTAAATATGGTAAGTGTTCCATAGACCCCCTCTGTTGTATGGGTTGTAAAAATATTGTAATTTGATTGAGCTGATATTCTTGTTTCTACAGTGATTTCATAAATTAATACAGCTAATGAGAACATTCTGTTACAAAAAACTGGATAATCTGATTTAGTCTGGTTCAAGTCATATTTTTTTTCTTTGACAACAGCCAGAATGGATTGCTGAACAGATTGTGTTATTACATTCAGTACATCTGTGCAGATATTACCTAAGCATTCTCCTCAAAGTCCCGCATGAGTGTGTCCCAACCTTGTTTGCTGTTAGGGGTCCCTGTGTAAACAGTTTTCCCAATACAATTGTACTCATCACTGTGTCAGGCCAGGACAGGCAAAAGTCCCAGAATCAGTCAATAAACTTAGCAGACTTCATTCACTTACATTCAGTGTTAAGTGTCACCTAAATGCATTGTGTGTATCTTCTTTTAAAGCTACTTTTAAATATATATCCAGCTGTGACTGGATGGGGACCCACTCGTAGAAACGCATCTCATTCTGCTACTAGTCGTAGTGATTTTCCTCAAAGTATGAAGTTGAAATTAATTTCAGTTCAACCATTTATGAAATCATTCACTGATTTATTGATTATTTGACCAAAAGCTATACTAAACTACTTTGATAATCAATTAACATATAAGTAATTTATCAAGAAAAAATGCCATCAGAAATTACATTTCTTTAGGTGCTGGACTGGACATTTGAAGAAGTCAACTCGGGCTCTTGAAACTTAAGATGTGCATTTTTCATCAAGATAAATGCAGCTGTTGGTGAAACTTTAATTTATCCGTTTTTTCCCTCATTAACTTTTATTCATCTATCGTGCACTCTGTCCTCCCAGATGTCTGATAGCCCGGACAGTCAGTGTGCTGCATCAATCAGCCCTTGTTTCAGTCCCTTGCTAAGCAGCACCAATCCTCTCCCTCAGCTCCCATCCCATTTTCATCCAGAGAGCTTCAGGTTTCATTGGTATTCATTGTCAGTGCCACCAACATACCAGAGTGTGTTACATTCTCATTCTCTTCATCAATGACCGTATAGATCCCAGTGATTGTCTGACCAGTTGCCCACAGCCAGCCAATTCTTTGTGGCTCCAGTTCTCAGGTGTATGGGGAACTTTCACAGGATATGAGGCAACACAATAGCTGTCTGTCAGAGATACACTTGCTCTTATCACCACTGTAGCCTAGTTGCCACATCTGCCCTTAGGGATCTGTGAGAAAATGGTGTAAGATGAAATATTCAATGACGAGGGTTGTAGGATTGATCACCTGCGCAGTCACTGTGGAACACCTGAGGATGTGTGTATCATTTGTTAGCAAAAATGTTGTAGGGAACTGGTTGATTGCAGATATTAAATCACAAAGTCTTCAATAAAGTAACGGAGGAGGAAAAGTGAAGAGCAGGCAGTTATACTGGATTTAGACAGGTTTAAATGATGTTGATAGCAAGCCCCTAGTTCGGTGTTGTTCTACGGCATTGCATTTTTGCAGTTTCATTTTATGCCTACTGGTTTTTGTTCTCAGCCCTTTTTACCTCACAAAATTGCGTTTGTTACGAAATTATAAATTTATGAAATTGCACTGAATCGATTCCAGTGTTCATCTTCTAATTTCAGTTTATCTCACTACCCTTCTCCGTCCTTCCATCGTCCTCTCACTGTCATTGCAGTGTTTTGGCTGCTGTCCTGTTGCCATGCAGAGACAACAATGGGCCCTCTCTGTCTGAGCACATCACTGCCCGAGGAATACTTATTTAATAGTGGCATGCTTCAAGAGGGGAAACACAATGTCTTGTCTCCCAGCTGAACTCTTTCATGGACTCATACTGCTGTTGTCTCTGTCCAAAAGGCTTCTCAGGTTCATCGGTAACTGCCTCCATTTCCCAGACTGATGGCTGAGCCTTTCCATGTGCCTAGCTGGGCTCAGACAATGTTTGCCATGAGGCCTGATATCTCACTGGATGCTACTAAGCGTCTGTAGTTGTAGTAGTGAGAAGACGTTCATTTGTCTGACAGCTATTCATGCAGACCTTTATCCAGCTTTGCGTGTCTTAGGTTTAATAATAATCAGAGTTTTACTCCCAAGGGAGTAGTGTGTTTGGAAATAAAGTTATATGACGTGAGATGTTATTATTTAGCAAGCACAGTGTACAGTTGTATACTCCATAGAAAACTACAATCAGTTCTCTTTGTGGTTGCACAGCATTGGTCTCGCTGCTCTTTGGTGCTCTTGTAAGCAAACTGTTGAATTGCACAGCATTTGCAGAGTAAATCTTCAGTGCATTCACTGTCTTAGTTTGACAGCCCCCTACTGTCTGTGCTGTTTTTAGCCAAAGTCTGAATAATTTAGAGCATGTTGCCCCAGTGTTTACCTTCAGAGACTATGCAGAAAAAAAACTCTGTCTGAAAGAGCGCAGTGACTTACAGGCCTAAACTGGCTCCTATCGAGTATGTTTCATCAAAAAGAAGTTTGACTCCTTCTGGGAAGCTGATCACTCTGATTCTATTTTTCTAAGCAATTAATTTCACCTCAATAGAATCATCAGGACGCCAAAAAGCAATTACTGTGTTTTGTTTTGCCTGGGAGTTTGGCCATTTGCTTAGGCCAGTCTGTCAATAAATCAGTCACGCAGCGCAAAAATGGCAGTAGGCGTTGAAGTAGAGGAACAAGCAGAAGAACTATTATCTTTTTTTGCTTCTGAGCAAGTGTTGCAATCTCTGCAGCAGATAATGTTCCTCAAGAACTCAGAAAACAGAAACAGTGGAGTGTTACAGTGTAACTGTACCTGTAAGGTGTTCTCTTTAATTATGTTATTACGGTGCTGATATGAGTTATCCAAGTGAACAGTTTCTCAAAGAAAACAGTCATCTTCTTCTAGCCAGGGACTCCACCCCTCACACTTGATACATGCGACTCCTGAGGAAGTTTACGTCATTCAAACCAAAGTGCTTCATAGGCCCAGCAGTGAAAAGAATGAAGACCAACTGGTCGAGTTCCGTCTCTGTGCTTGTCTTACCTTTTACCATGTACCATTTACACACTCGTTCCTATTCTGTTAATTTCTCTTCAGCTCCCGACTCGGATCTGAACACAAACCCCACAAGGCCTGACCCGGAGGGGGAGAGCAGCCCCCCGAAGACAGACAACACCCAGAGAATGGAGTCTCCAGCCAAGAAAGATATTGACCGGAGATTGACTACCCCCACAAAATCTGACGTCATCCCTCGATCACCTGGGTCACCTGCATCACCCATCCCCAGGTCGAAAAGGAAGGAAGGTAAAGAAAAAAAAATGTCACCGCTAAAGTATACCTGCAAATTTGGCCTGACATGTAGCAGCTCTTATAGGCAAAGGTAATGCTTCATTATCTGAGTAAAAGTGACCACATGCTTTCAGACTAGAAGCTAAATCCAATAGAGCTGCTGCAGATTATCTTTAAGTGTTGGAACAAGCATGGAACAGATGCTGCTGTGTGAGAACATCTCAGCTTTGGGCTCAAAGATTTTAGGCATAATTGAATTAGTAAAGATAATATTCAGGTAAAATATAGACAAATGAGCTTTCTTGTCGTTAGCTAATGCTGATGCTAATCACTACCATGCACTGTTCACTAATGAAAGGAGGGCAAAAGGAACCTGAACAGAAATCCCATTTCAGTGATGCCAAGAAGGCATTTAGTTTGACCTCCTTGCAACATTTCCACAATGCCACCACTTGAAACGCCTTGCAGCCACTGGCGAACAGCACATGCAAACTCTAAGGAACATGTTTGAAGGATTTTGGAGTGTAAGCCTCTTTTCTCTCTCCCCTTTATTCTTTATCCATTAATCCATTCACTGTGGTCATGGTTTTTATTCCCTTTGGGCGAGGTGAAGGGGATAAACCCCCCAAAGTCCAAAATTGCTCCCAATACTCTCGATACCTTGTAATGACCTCCAAGTCAATATCAAGACATTTATGGTATTCTTTGCTTATTTGCCAAATTGTGGTCTATTTTAGAGAAACATGTAGTTGAGCCCTTAGTCTCCGGATTCCAAAAATGTCCCACACTTCCCCTTTGTCCTTCAAGTTCCATTTTTGCACCACCCAGAGGGGTATGATGAAGATGAAAAGCACTCTGTGGCTCCTTAATTAGTGAAATGAAATGTTGAGGCTTGTAGTTCAGTCTTGGAGCTGCAGCTTCTGGTAATGGTCTGCACAGTTTGCACCGTGAGGGTTGCAAGTCACACACTATACAGTATACTCAGCACTGCTCCTTTTGTACCCCAATTTAGAGGTGGACAAAATGACACAGGGCTGACATTTTAAGAAGGGGTGTGTGTGTGTGTGTGTGTGTGTGTGTGTGTGTGTGTACACACGTATAGTCTGGAGCCCAAACACTGCACCTAGCAGTTTTTTCTAGGCCGGCCTGTTCTTGTCTCAGATGCTTTGTGCATGTGACGTTATGATTAACATGGTGGTGAGTTGCAAACAACAGCAGCACATCACACTGACCAAGACCATGCACATGGGCCATAGTCCTATAAATATCAAAGTGGGTCAGAGGTTGTTCTTAGGGAAGGCTGCATGGCAGATTGTTTTCGTGTTTATGATTCACGCCTCTCCCTATTAGACATTGCTGAAGGATGAGCTTCTGTGTGTTTGATGATGAACATCTGTTCTGTGAAGATCAGGGGGGATGATGTAGCATGAAGACTAAAGAATGATCAAGACTGCAGTCTGTGTCAGTGTTTCCCAGCAGTGGACACATTATTTGTGGTAGTGCACACTTCAAATGGACATGAATGATTTCACATTGTAGCTGTTTTGATCAATACACAATTCAAGCTAATTTATTTGGGTGGGCTGCAAAGATAAGTTGTATGTAAGGATGTTGTCTATCTGCAATTCTGTATTATAAAATAAGCTGTAACTCAGTAATTAGAAAGCATGAATAAATTAGCTATAATCATGTTTGTGGTGTTAATTGGGCTGCAACTGACTTCATTTGGTCTATAGAATGTCAGTAAAAAGCAAAACATTTTCATCACAAGTTACCAGACCCACAGTGAAATCTTTAAATGTCTTGTTTGGTTCAATCATCAGTTCAAAACCCAAATATATTCTGTTTACAGCAAATATTGACATTTGAAAAGCTGTAACTTGTAAGTTCTTGCTTAATATATGCTTTAAAAATGAAAAAAAATGAATAGATTATTAAAATAGTTGCCAATAAATGTTCTACCTATTGAAAAATTGATGAATCAAATAATCGTTTCAGCTCTATTTGTAAAATATTTTTCTAGGGATATTTCTTGGAGGACATATTAAGGATGCCTTTGGCAAGTCAGAATAACAGTATTTTTTTCCCAGGATGTAGGACCAGTTATCATGAAAGGATGCAGTTTGAATTCTTGAAATGGTTCAGCTCAGTGTTTGCTTGCATTGCTGTTCACCCTCGGCTTTTTTTCACTGAGTGTTTCTGAAGTATTTGGAAGGTATGTTGTGTGTGAGTGGATATCAGAGATGTCACAGAGGGAAGAGATATATGTAAGTGCTCCCCTGTAGTCATAACAGCACAATCAAACATACACCCAAATCCAGATGGTACAGGAGATTTAGTGAGCCTGCCACATGCTGCAGCTTTTATTTAGAGAAGATTGGTTTCATGAAAAAAAAACGTTTTTTTCTTATGTTTTTTTCTTAATCCAGAAAATGTAGCACACCTCGGCTTCAGCCATTTATTGAAGATTAGCATTCAAATGTTGACGTTGCCAGTTTCCTGTCATTGTCTGGTGGTATGCATTTCCTTGTGGTGGCATTTAAAAGTTAAAAGCCTCTGCTGCTGTGTTTGCAGAGCTTGATTAACCAGCTATAATTGACCTGCAAGAAACATGAAGACCTATGAACCTTTTTAAATAAATGCTGTGTGACAGAGGTCTAGTGGAGCAATATGCCACCTCTCGCTTACACATCCTCTCTATAATTTCTCCTTTCTCCCCCCTCCATTCTCATCCCCAGACATCATCAAGTCAGAGGAGAGGCAGAAGCTTGCCAAGGAGCGGAGAGAGGAAAAGGCCAAATATCTTGGTAAGTGGAAACAAGGTGTGGGAGCAAAGCCTATTTCATAGAAGGAGAGCTCCCCCTAGCGTTGGGGGCAAAGAGATCACAGAGAGCTTTACATTGTGTCAAGTGCGTGGGTTTGCTGTAGGCTGCAGATGGTATGCACATGTGGCACAGGGAGGATAAAAAGGTAGTTTGGCCTTTTGCACAAAAGTGACTGAAATCAGCAAAAGCCAAGCCACCATTTTATCAAAGACGAGCGAGCATTCATTTTCTACGTGCATGTTGAAATGAGCAGCGTCAAAATGTTTGCTTTTTGTATGCTTGTTTGACTCTTTAGCAGTTTACCTCACCTACCACTCTAAGATGTATGCCTGTACAATTTGAATTAAATGGAGATATTCCTCACATTGACAAGAAATGTTGGATAAGTGACAAATGTAAATTTTTCCCCCCATTTATTAATAAAAAAATATTTTGGCAAGAGTTCAGCTTTTTGCAGTGTGATGAATATCTCTAATGACTTAATGTTATTAGAAATTTGAGTCAACAAAGCATGAAAACCTGCTTCTACATTATCCTAACTTCAATCGATATAGTTTGATCAATTGGTGCACAATGTCCTCGGCGCCATTCACCTGGGTGTCATAACAAAAAAAATTTTTTTTTTCAATTGATATTGCATCTCTTTGCCTAAGTCCTTACTTTTTGTTTAACACGCGGCTGTCACAATGTCACCTGGCTACACGCTCGTCGTGCACTGCTTTGCATGACTGACAAGTTGCCTCTGTCTTCTCTCTCACTCCTTCCCCCTGCAGAAGAGCTCAGCATGTTACAAGGTAAGCCACTCACCTATGTGTATGTGGTGGTGGTGGTGATGACCCTTTTCGTCCATTCTCTTAGATATTGATACCACATTCAGTAGTTTTAACTAGAGTTGGGCAATAAACCAGAAACTTACCAAGATATAGACATTAGGAGTAACAACCTTGCTCATGTTGGTATGATAAAGCTATTCCCATATGACTTTAAGAACTATCCTCTAAAAAAACAGTCACATGCTTCAGGCCAATCTCTCCTTCATTGCACATCCTTACTTTATAACAAAGCAGCATGTATTATAATAACAAAAATATATAATCATCCTTCTGTGGTTAAGCCTGTTTAAAATATTTAATAAATGAGCTTGTAGACACACACACACACACACACACACACACACACACACACACACACACACACACACACACACACACACACACACACACACACACACTTCTTCGTTATCAGGGAGCCCTGATGGAAGGTAATAATATTAATGTTTAACCTTGTTATGAAGGTAAAGACAAACATAAAACACATACAGTAAGAGTTACAATATTGAGTTTTGGTCATATTGCCCAGACCTAGAGCTGTTTCATTCATTTAATCCCCCTGGTGTTCCTGTTTTTAAAATCATGGTTGATTTTATTTTTTCTTTATCACATAAATTTCAACTAATTGTAACCTTTTGTCTCTCTGAACATCATTAATGTGTCTTTCGCAAAATTCATGTAGGCATAGTCTGATCACTTAACCAATCATTTATCTGTTGTGATAAGTGTTAATATTGGTTGTTTTTCACATATAAGAAGTTGTAGCATGACCTGAGTTTGAACTTTGTTCATCCACATGCTCCAACTGTGGAAGCGACAGAGCTCCATGGATTTTGTACTTTAAAGATAACATGTTTGAACCACATGCCGCAAAACTGCTATGATTACCATCTTACTGGAGAAATTGGAGGTTTTAGAGACGCCTGCAGCCAGATTCATCTTGGCTGCAAATATTCCAACAATTTTACAAACAACTTTATATTGCCAAACATAAAATCACCAAATTGAAAATGTTCTGAAATAGGAAAATATGTTAATTATGCTGAATGGTAGTGTATTCAAAGTAGCCAGCATTACAGGGTATTGTCAGCATGGTACTAGACCAAAATACATGGACTAGAATCATCCAGTTTGTGTTCTTCATTACCTTACAGTTAGTGAGAAATTGGTAAAATAGAGTCTAAATATGCTCTTAGCCCCAGTTTTATTAGGTTTTCTCAAAACTATATTAACATTTTAGTAAACACTTCAGGCTAGGGTAGGTAACGTTGGAGATACTAGCAAGAGATGGCTAGATTTTGAAGTATCCAACCGATAAAAAATCCCACCATCTCCCTTTAGGCCTTTCTCCAAAGCTACTCCCCCAGAACACATTTTCATGCGCAATGAGTACACGGGCAGAGGGTGCCCAGGTAGGTAGGCCATGATTGGTTGGGCTCATTACATACCTGCAACAACCACAGATAGCAGATTTAAAAAATGATTAGTATTTGATGTATTGATTGCTATTGGGATATGGAGAATTACTGAAATACATTACATACCATAGCTTTATGGCTATATTATATTTTTCACATTGACATTTCAAGCATGATGTATATCATCACATTACACTGATTTCTTTAAACTATCAAACTCGTACTTTCAGTAATGCCATGTTGTCTAAGCCAACTGTGTGTTCGACAGCAGTAAGATGAGTTTGACATGCGTCAGAAGGTGGATCAGTCTAATTGGGCGATCACCGGGGCATGCCAGATGGTACGGGTCTAATCTAATACTCTCAGTCAGACCTGGATAAAGGATGAGATCCTACAAAAGCTTGTGTTTACAATATCAGCTTAAAAGAGATCTTGCCTATCAACCATCACCAGTAGTATAACTGGTTTAGTAGTACACGGGCCACAGGTAGAAAATCCTTACACATCCTAGCTTGTATTTTATTGGTTCCTTGTTACGTTTAAGTGAAGCTTTGAAACCCATGCATCAGGGAAGTGGCTGCTACTGCACAGATGTTACTCTGCTGCCTTGTCTGTCTTTGGTGGGATGCAGCTGTATGTACCAGGGTTAGAGCAGCACTGTGTTTATGATTATTTAATGATCGTACTATAGTAAGTCCCGATATTACTTGTCAGTGCAGATCACTGTCAGGAGAGTTGGGGAAGGCATTTTAAAGCAATGTCAGAAATTCAGAATTGAACATCTGTTTATAACTTAAACTCTGGTACAGATGCATAAATTATTTGATGATGAATAGCACTCTGAACGGCCAGTTTCCAGCTCATTTTCCTTCTTGTAACCAACACCTATAGTCTGGAAAACCATTACCAAATGTTTCTGTTGAATGAAATGTTATGGATGTGGAAAACTGTAATCTATCTCTCAGCAAGCCTTAAACATTGCATTTGTGGGCAGTTGAAGCAGCATCTGCCTCCCTCTATTCTCATCACAGCACAAGTGAATTATGAAGCAGTTTCCACTGCACTACTTACAGTACCATCTCTACAGATTTGAAGGTAAAACATGTGGCTTCTCTCAAATCGAGGCCGTTGAGCTGTGATGAGCTGAGAGACGCACTGCAGCAGATATTTTCTTTGCCGCAAGGTGCTGGCAAGCAGTGCCTCGTTATAACTCAGCCTTTTGTTCCCTTTTCAGATAAAAGCCAAAGTGTGTGCCTCCCAATAAATTTTAACCCCTTTAGCCTCCAGCATCTCTGGAATGAACGTCAACATAATCTGAAATCCACAACCAGTTGCTTTTGTTGTATCAAGTGGTTTAGAGAACTAAGCCTCACCTCCTTGCAGAGGCTGATTCTTCCTGGAGGTTTTACTTTGTAGTTTAAAGAAATATGGTGCGTTGTGTACACAGAGAGGCAGCTGCAAAAGGCTTCTTTACGGCCTCTTTGAATGGCTCAGGGACAAGGAGATGATTTCCATATCAAAGTGTGTGGTTTATTGAAGCTGACATGGAGGCTTGATGCAATTAGTGTGGGATAAAAGTGTCACTTCAGAAGTACTGTATCTGTCTAACTTAGCATTATGCAGTATTCTGTGGAAAAGGCAAGAAAATTGAATTTATTTTATCGAACACAAAGCACAATTGAGGTGAAGGGCAACATCTTTTTTCCAAAGACTGCTATAGATGTAAAGTAAACATCAGAGAGACTTGACTTTTTAGGTATTTTCTTCAAGTTTCAAACTGGATTTTTCTTGAAAATCCCCAACCTATCAAATAGGTTTTAAATTTTAACAGTAATCTTCTAAGTCAAAACTGATACAAACCTTTCAAAGAGAATGCACACTATACCTACAGTATAATGAAAGGCCAGGGAAGAAGGGCTCCTTGTCCAGTGCTCTTTTGGTAAAATACGTCTCTCCTGACCATACTTTCTGTCCAATCTTAGCTGCTAAAAAGAACCAGTGGTTGGAGAAGGAAGAGAAGGCACGGCAGCTGAGGGAGCAGCAGCTGGAGGAGCGCCGCAGGAAGCTCGAGGAACAGCGGATCAAGGCGGAAAAGCGACGAGCTGCTCTGGAGGAGAGACAGAAACAGAAACTGGAGAAGAATAAAGTATGTTTGGACAAGAACACTGGCTATGTTAACAATAATCCATTCAGTGAGTGAAGGTGTTTTATGTTTGCGTTGATACCCAGAGGTGAAATATCAATGCCCACCCACACTGAAATGGCAGGTGTACAGCTGCAGATCATGGGATTTTGAATTTTCCTCAAGGACACCTAAGCCATGCTGGGTGCTTAGATCCAGGCTTTTCAGCTGAAGGACGCATTACACCACCCAGTTCTTCACATTGCCTTTGATGTTAGACATTTAAACAACTGATAGATGTTCCTGTATCCTTTCCAGGAACGTTATGAGGCAGCCATCCATAGGTCAACCAAGAAGACGTGGGCAGAAATCCGCCAGCAAAGATGGTCCTGGGCCGGCGCATTAAGCCACAACTCAAGCCAGAAAGAAAGTGAGTACCCAATTCCAACCTGGATACACATCTTTAAACTATCCGAAGGACTCCCTTTTAATCATTAGGAATCATATCATCATCATCAAGCCAATATGAGACAGTTTGTCAAGATATTAATAATGTCATGTTATGGCCTTTTTACATCTGAACCATTTAGGTAGCCTGAAATGAGTGCATCACCTCGTTCATGTGAATTTTACCAAAATGTGTTTTGTTGTCTGCTTTGCAATCCCAACAGCACAATAGATGGCTTAGTTTAGGTGTACAGTGTTTTATGCTCACTGCTGGGGATGGCATATGATGTTGGCAGGTGTAGTCAGAAATGCTGCCCAAACAGATTTTGACGGCACTGGAGGTTTTGTTTTGTTTTGTTTTATTTTAATCCAATATGTCTTGGCAGCATCAGTCAAAGTCCTCCATCTTAACACACCGTTTCCCCTGATGTGTTCGCTACTTCAGCACTGTCCTGCCTGTCCGGATTGCCTCTTAAACCTTACTTCAGGGTCATTAGCCCTTGATCATGACCAGACCGTATTGATCGCAGAAAGTGAAAATGTTTTCAGTTGCTGAGCAGGGTGAAAATTCGCTGCAACTAGCAGCAAATTGAATATATTGTCTAATAATGCTTCATTTGAATGATAAATGTCCCGACAGTCCAACAGCTGATGAGATCAGAGTCTGCAGTGACTGCAGATCCTAGGTAATACTGTAGAAATTGTGTTTTAACAGTGCAGCTTGATGGATGCTTCTGTGCCTTTGTGCCTTCCTCACGACATGAAGCTCTAAATCTGAAGAGTTGTACCTTATGTCATGTAATCATCTCTGCCATATGCCAGGGGAATTATTGATACTGTAATCAATCTCTCCCTTAGTTCCTGCTGTCTGTCAGATGATGAAAGTAAACAAGCGTAAACGGGCTGCAGTGGATGTGGAGTTTGAGATGCTATTTAGGAAATGCTCCCAAGTACCCATCTTTGCTTCTGTCAGAAGAGCATACTGCCTCATCCACTAGACAAGACTTTAATACTGTTCCTCCATTACTGTAATGTTCTCTGAACCATGCCTCACAACATTCCGAGAAAGTGTTCATTTGATTGCAGTTTATTAAAAGGGATATAGAATTGGGATAGATGCAAGTATTGCACATTGATCTTAAGGTTTCAAGCTTGCCCTTTTCTGAAATGCCAGTTCACGTCATCAACCTTGAAATGAGTAAGTGTTTCCAAGCAGCTTCTTTCCATCACTTGTTTGGTTGTTATTTTGCCATGTCTTTTCATGTTCATTGCTTGTGTTGGTAGGCATTTAAAATGTTCTTCCTTAGTGTGTTTGGGATACTTTTGGGAATTGGTATTGCTGTGAAGTAGGCATAACCTTAATTATTGTTCGTGTGGAATTTTGAGAATTTTTTTTATTAAAGGGTCATTTTCAAACTTATTTTCTCACTTACCTCAATGGACTTGAGTGGAATTTAGTTTGGTGCACTCAGCATTAAAAATGAAAAGGGCCTTAAAAATAAAAGTCTACAATTTATTAAAGTATATTTCAAAACCTGGCGAATTGAAACCAAAACTATCTGCAATGCTAAATACCACAAGAGGTAAGTGAGGGGGGAAAAAAAGTGTTTATATAACTTAGTTGAACTGACCCTTTAAAAACTTTAAAACTTTTGAGTCAGAAGCATTATAATTTCTGACACACACAGGCTTTCTACCAAACATGACTGCCAACCCACCTAAAAGCTAGCTGAAGTGAACATATGGTGTACAGTGTGCGTGTATGTACCGTAAAGCAGTGAATGATTATTATTATTTACATGGTCGCCACACAGGAATTTGCTTTAATAGGGTGGGGGTTGCCCACGTTACAAATATATGTTACAGTATTGACCTTTACAGTGTCTGGGTGTATGATTGTAGAGGCATCATTCGAGCGTGACACATGACACCACAGAAGCTCCTCCTCTTCCTCTCAACCATGTGACCTGTGTGAACATCTGTGTGGCGCTCTCTTGGCTTCTTAGGCAGATGCTCTGTGTCAACGGTCAACCTGCCCAAACATGTGGATTCTGTTATAAACAAGCGACTGTCCAAGTCCTCCGCCACGCTCTGGAACTCCCCCAGCAGAAGTAAGGCAACATCTGGAATGCCCCCCTTCCTCTCCTCCCGTTTAACTGTGCTCATCACTCTGCCACCGCCAGTACCTCCGAACCTGTTCATCATTGTCCTGTATTTATTTCAGTTCTTCCCCTTTGTGATTTCAGTCCCTCTCCTGTGCTTGATGGTTGACAGCTGACCCATTTCATCTTCCAAAACCACAAGTTGTTTTTTTTACTCTCCAGAATTTGGGTCGAGGTTTTGTTTTACATGGTTTGCATGCTCGTATTTTAATATGGGTTATGTACAGTGTTCATATTTTGTTGTTTTTACTATCCTCTTGGTTGAATCATTGTGTGGTAATGGCCATTTCATGTTTGCACAGTCAAATGGATCCTTTTGTGCTCATTTTCATCACACGGGATATAGGATTTCTTTTCTACTGTCTTAAATGCTTTATTGATAAATGGAGGTAGATGTCCTTTATAAATGACACTTTTCTTTGAATCAGCTTTGTGCCTCTGAGTCAACCTTTCTTGATGCTTCGGATGAGTGCAGCTCTTTATTTTTATTTAATAGGTCTAAAGTTAAGCAGGTCACGGTGTACTCCTGCAAAGGAGGAGAAACTTCTGAGTTTGGAAAAAGTAAAGTTAGTGAGTGAGTCAGTGAGTCAGCGCTTTTCAAGAGATAATGTATTCTGAAAACTCCCCGAAGCAGGTAATGTTCCTCCGTGCTGCTGGAAAAAATAGATTGGTAACTCTTGTCTCACTCCTCTCCCAACACAATTACACACCCTGTCTGTGAACATTCACGGTAACATCTTTCTCGTCCTACACCTTAAAGCCAAAGAAGAAGGCATCTTCGCAAAATAAATACTGATCAGTGTCCACTCTTCTTCATCTTAGCTTGTAAGCTTAAAGCTGTGGTTATATATAACTGACTCACTGTCTAGACAATTTCACATAACTCTCTCTCTCGGGTGGGACCACTACTGCCCAATGCTATTGTAGACACATTTAATGACCTCAGTTTCTTTCTCTTATAATCTCTTTGGGTGGCACTGAGGTGTTTTATTGGGTTTTTGTGTATTTCATCTGGGTTTTATGGTTTGTAGACCTATTGCTACATGTGAGCCGTAACATGAATAACCATTTCTTATACTTACAGCAAAATTCTGGTTCAACAGAGGATATCTAATAGAAAAACATACATTTATCAATCTGTTTCTCCTACCTGCAGACCGTAGTCTTGCACTGAGTCCATGGGAGAGCAGTATAGTCGACCGGCTGATGACGCCAACACTGTCTTTCCTTGCTAGGAGCCGCAGTGCTGCCAGTGTCCTCAGCAATGGCAAAGATGGCCGTAAGTTTACAAAAAAAGATGAATATTAGTTTAAAATCTGCCTCACAGTAAATACATTACGCTGCTGTATGAATGTTGTCGTCCCTTTTCTCCTCAGACTCTGCTCTCTGCCCCCGTTCGGCCTCAGCCAGTCCCCTCACCTTGTGTGCTCACCAGCCCCACCACCGCTGCGCCGACCGCTGGAGGGTGACGTCCAGCACACCAGACATCACCCAGCGCCAACAAAGAAGGAGCTCCACACCTGTAAGTCTGCCTAATTAGCTTTTGCCCTCTGACAGTTAAGTGTACTCACAGTCTAAAGAAAGACTCTATCTAAAGAGTTACAATAAGTACCTATGCCATTTTCCAGAATAAGAGGGTAGCTTATCACACCCAGTTTACCATTTACCTGAACCTGATGGATAATTTAACATTAAAATTGTTGATTTTTGTAATTGAGTACTGTATAGAAACCTGTTTTTATTATAATTGAATGTTATTTTGGAAATTTGTCATACAGATGGATAAAAACAAGAAAGAAAAGAAAGACAAGGAACG